AGAGCAGGAGACATTGTGGGGCCCCGCTTGCCCAGCTGGAGGAAGAGGAAGAGTAGGGTGGGGCTGGGTGAGCCTCAGTCTGGTGCCCAGGGCCTGCTTGACAGTTTGTAAGGCAGAGGCCTTGGGTGGGGTTTGCATGTCCCGCTGCTTCAGCAGAACCTGCTCAGCTGCCACCAACCACCCGCCCCACTTGCTACCTAACGGGCCTATATGTCTCAGGCAGCCACCAGGCTCACCACAGGGGAAGTGGTTAGGGCGGGCACCCTGAACACCCATAACCATGGAAACCATTCTGAGCCCCACCCAAAGCTACCTCAAGGGTGGGTGGCTGGGAGTGGGCTGGGGTTTCTAAGAGCTCATCTTTGGAAACCCTGCTGGCCTTCCCTGTAATCAGAGAATACTTGTCTAGTGAGTCAACTGCGGAAGGGCCACAAAGATGAGACAGACACCCTTTGAAGGGCCATCAACGGCAGGTGGCCTCCCAGTCCAGGGGACAGCACCTGGAGGACCAACTGAGCCCTTCAAAGCAGAGCAACCTCCCCTGTTCCCAAACAGGTTGGTTCTGGCCCCTCATGGCTGCTCCTCACTGCCCCCAAATGGTGGGAAAATAGGGAGGGGAGGTTCAGAGAAAACCAAGGCCACAAGATCTGCAGGGGTTTCCCACCAGGACCCCACCCCACCCCAAAGTCCTGGGTGCAGCACAAGAGCCCTCAGGAGGCCTTGGTTCCTCAGTGACCTCCAAGGGGAAGAGGTAGAGCAAGGCTAGGCTCACCAGCCCTGGTAAGTAAGGCAGGGCCCTCCCCTGGTCCATATCAAGCAGGCCTATGCCAGCCCCTTCCCCCTCCAAGAGGGAGGGGAGGACCAGGGCCTCGAGCTGGGAGACTGCCTGGTTAGATGGCCCCGCCCCATCCCACCCCCTTTCCCCAGCCCCTGGGCCAGCCAGCCCCCTCCCTCCCCTAATCACTGCTGCTTTCCAACATTTTTTTGCCTTATATGGCAAAGCTCTGGGAACTAGGCCTGCTCCAGCCAGCTCACAAGAAGGAGGGGAGAAGAGAGGAGGGAGGAGACCCCCCCCAAAGAGCTGGGGTGTGGCCTGCCTCCCCACATCCGGTTACCCCCCCCAGACTCAGAAATGACTCAGCTTGGCTAGACTGAGGCTGGGACTGGGGGGTGGGCCTCCATACCTCCACTGGCATTCCAAAGAAAGAACTGGGCTCCCGGAACCTGCTTTCTGAGTAGCCAAGAGAACCCTGTCTTGGTCCCTTCGCTTTTTTGGGCTCAGCATCTACCAGTCCAAGGCCATAAGGATAACTGGAAGGCTCTTTTTGACCATGAAGAAAAGGTTCGTTCCCCCTTCTTACTCTTCTTGGTCCACATTCCCCAAGTCACCAGTTCAAGTGCCTGTCCTCGAGCACCCCCTACTTTAAGAAGGCCTGGGATGCTGCAGTAGGCCTGGCCAATGCCAGCCTCTCCAGTCCAGTCCAGTGACAAGGACACGGGTCTGGCAGTGAGCCGAGTGCACGCTGGAGCACCTTAAGGCTGGAGCACCTTAAACCAACTCCAGTAGTCCAAATGCAGAAAAACCAAGGGGAGCGAGAGTTTGTCTAAGCAGACAAGACAGGTCTGCTCACTCAACCAAGCCCAATTAGCTTCGGGTGCAGTTTTGCCAACTATGCTTCCGGGGAGAGGGACGGGCAGCCTAAACTGGGAGCTGGGACTGTGGAACCACCTCCAATTGGGGGAGGGGGGCATCTTCCAGAACAGAAGCTGAGAGAGCCCTAGACAATGGGATCCACAAACACCAACCTCCACTTTAGAACCACAGGGGCACCTGAAGACCAAAGGGCCCTCTCACAACTGCTGTAGAGAGCCTGCCTTTCTCCCCCGCCGACCCCCGCCCCAGCCTCTTCGGGGATGGGGTGCGGCACTCGGGGTCAGTAGCCCGGTTTTTGCCCGCCCTGCCAAGCCCTGTCCCACCACGGGCACAGCGGTGGGGGCGCGGCCTGTGGAGGATGTGAGCTCAGTCTGGGCGCAGGCCAGCGGGGCGCAGCGGGCGGGGGCGCGTAGCGGTTCGAATGCTGGGCAGGCCAGCCCGCGCGCCTTTGTTCTCAAGGACCGCGCGAAGCCAGGCGGCCGAGGGGCCCCAAGGACAAAAGTGACTGTGGCACAGTCAGGGAGGAGTACTGGGAGGGGGCCGTAGTGGGGGGATAGACGCGCGAAGCCCCCGCTCCACCACACCCCCCACCCGCGCAGCCCGAGTCCTCACCGATGGACACAAGTTTGATGCTCTCGCGGTCCAGGAACTCAAGCGCCACCGACACGTTTTCCAGCTGCATCTGGCGGAAGGTGGGTCGCTGGTTGTGCTTGCGGTGCATCTTCTTCTGGCTGAGTACCTCCAGCAGCGCGATGAGTCGCAGCCCATCGCTGAGGTCAGTCTGCAGATTGGCGATGCGCTTACTCACGCACTTAAGGTGTTCGTTGCACCAGCGCGTGAATGTGTTCTGCTGGATCTTCTTCCACGGCGCGTCCTCCGCCAGATCCTTCTCGGTAGCCGGCATCTCAGCGTCCCGCGTGTCGGCGCCCCCTCCCGGAGCCGCGCCCGCCGCGCTCTGGCTGGAGCGGGAGTGGGAGCTACTCATTTTGAGGCGTGAGGAGCCGGGGGGGCGGTGCTGCAGCCTCAGCGAGGGGACGGCCCTTTAATTAAAGCAGCAGGCACCTCGGCGCGTGAGAGTCGAGGCCAAGAACAGAGGTTGTGCTGTGGAGAGAGCGAGCCCTTTAAATGCGGACGGAGGGCGGAGCCGGAGGCAGGGCTTCTTTGGGGCGGGGCCTCTGGGTGGAGCTTCGGGCCGCGCCCGCCCCGCCCCGCCCCACCCGTTGGAATGCCTCCACAAAGACCCCAGCTCACGCCGGTACAACCCAACTCCTGGGCTTCGCGTAGGGTCTTTGGGCCCCAAAGGCGGGCTAGGCGGTTCCTTGACCCCGCAATCTCCGTTCTAACACTGCAGGAAATGCACCCTGGAGCAAGGCAAGGAAAGGCTGAGCAGTATTTGGCACAAGATTGCTCCGCTCCAGCTGGCACGTCCTTACAAGGGACTTTCCTTCCCCAAGGCCCCTGCGGGGGGTGGTGCGGACAGGGTCCCGGAGTTTCTTGGGCTCCGCCCAGCCCCTGCACCCGCCTCGCCCTCCTCCCCCACCCTCCCGCCTCCGGGAATAGGGTCCCAGGCCAACTGCAGTGGGAAAGGCCCAATCCTAAGAGCGAACCCTTCGAGAATGCTTTGTGAGCACAACGCCACGAGAGCGGCTGCCAGACAGGACTCGGACCCTACGCAACCCCCAGCAGTCCCCTGCCCTCCACCACCCTTCCCATTCTGCCCGGTGATCGCCTGAACACCTGCGCCCGCTGGTTCCCACTGCCTTCCCCCCTTGCTCCAGGAGGAAGTGGGGCACTGGACCAGGAGGCCGCCAGCACTCCAGGACCAAGCAGCCTTCCAAGGGGCTCGGGTGTACCAACAGGCACGGCCAAGGGCACCTACCGTTGTGACGCTTGCAGACACTGCGTGCCTACCTAACCCACCATTCTGTCCACCTGGGATCCTGGGGGACCTAAAGGAGCGTGTTCTCCTGGTGGAGTAGCTCCTGAACCTAGCATGTCCCAGCAGGTAGACAAGCAGAATATAGAGGGGGGTTGGCTTTCCAGACCAGAAGGGCCTGCTCAGGGATTCCCATAAGGCTTTTCAGGCTCTGAGCACCTGGGTCTCAGTGGACTCCAAGTTCAGTGGCAGGCGTGCAGGGGGCTTGAGGACAGGGGGCCAGGTGAGGAGGGTGAAACAGGGGTTGCCAAGGCTTGCTTAGGAACACTTGCCCAGGCTGTGTTCCCAGAGTAGTGTGAAACTATTGACTGAAAGTTAATTTTCTGGTAGCTAATTCTGGAGATGATGAAAAGGCTGCTGTGCCAACACAGAGACCAGCAAAGGCACAGGAGCAAGAAGAACGTAGGGGACACTCACTGCCACCCTGCTTAGTCAAGAAAAGTTAGCCTACCTATGGCTTCTTCCCCAGGCTGGACTCCCTTTTCTCTCAGTCATCTGTACCTCCCCTCTCCAGAATGTTCCCTTCTCCTATGTCTTTTTCTCCAGAAAGGCAGGCCTGTTCCTACTGCTTAATTCTAGCAGTAATTAATTTATCTTCTTAAGACCAGTGGGAGAAGGAGTTCCTGGTCGAGCAGCATGTCATGCCCAAATATGGTTGACTCTCCTGTGGCCTTGGGTGTCTGCATTCCCTGCAGTGGGCTGTGATCCCAGTGGACATCTCTCTTACCCGTCAGCATGTTCATTTTGTGGGATGCCTATAACCCCAACGGTTTTCGCACCAATGGTAGTGGTAGGGATCAGACGGCATTTTCTAGTGCTAACGCCCACCCAGGTATACTCTCCCTTCTTCTGACCACTTTCATACACTCCTGCACCAAACGCACCACAGTGAGAGCTAGTAGAAGAGGTGACAGAGCTGTGAAGGGAAAACCCATATAGATCCCACCCTGCCAGGTGCCATTCGAGGCAGGGATGAAATTTAAAAAATCAATTCTCTCTCCAAGTGCCATCCAGCCGGGTCATCTAGGTTCATTCCTTAATATTCAGGCAACAAGGAAGTTGAATCGCAGTAACTGACCAGTAGTCAACTTTAGTAGATAGGACAGAAATTGGGTATCTTATCTTCCAGCCCTAGTTTTGGCTATTTAGGGGAAAAGAAGAAATGGGAGTGTAGAAGGTTCTTGTCCCTAGGAGGACATAGTGCCACCACCAGATGTCGCCCCATCCCAAAGCCCCCAAATGGGGCAGCCCCAAGAAGCCAAAATCCAGCTCTTTCATATTTTCCCTTATTTGGAGTAGATTCTTGGATGTTAGACACACCCCGCCCACCTCCCCACCCCCACCCCCAGACCCTAGGCCAGGCCCTCCCTTGGGGAACTACAGCCCCAAGCCCAGTAGCTGTTCGGCTGGAACCCCTAAAGACCTTTTTCTAACTTAGGACTTTTTTTTTGGTGGTATTGGGGTTTGAACTCAGGGCTTTGCACGTGCTAGGCAAGTGCTCTATCACCTGAGCCATGCCCTCAGCCCCCTAAAGAGCTTTTTCTAGACCTGTGTAGCCAGGGGGCGCCAAGACAGAAGGAAGTGGCAGATTGGCAAAGTGAGACCTGGACTGGCGAGGCGAATCCAGGTGTGACAGGTGAGGACATCTATTTCCGAAGCTCCTACCTTGACCATGCAACCCGGAGCACATAAGAATGGGCCTACCAGTGGATTTCACCTACTTACTTTTCTGGCCCTGGGTAGCATGGGAATCTGGGAACACTGGCGCTTACATTCTGATGGCGGTGATCATCCCACTCAGAGCCAGCATAAGACAGACAGGGTTCAGGGCTCAACCAGGAAATCTAGCTGGCCACAGCCCTGCCACAGCCCCAAGAGCCAGCTCTCCTGTGCCCAAAGCAGCTGATAGCAGCAACGGACCCACCATTCCCTTCCCTCACCCTTCTCACCGGCTGCGAAGTGTCCTTCCACTTATCCTCATCCCATACGACAAAAGAAGGGTCTCATGTAGTGACCCGTTCACGGGCACCCACGCCTGTATCCATCTTCCACCCTCACCCATCTCCTGTCAAACGCCCAGACATTCCCCCCTCTCTCTCAGGGACCCCCGCCATGGCTTTGGGCTACCATATTCGTGGGCATAGACACGGGTTTGTGGGTAAACTATGAAGGGCAGCCACTGGACACCCACTCCCAGATGCCTGGGCCCCAAACCCACACACCCGAGTTGCACCTGGCCTGGACCTGGGCGTGCTGCGTCGGCGCCTGCATTCTCCAGCCTCTCCGCCCGCCTTCGCCACCTCTGTCCCCGGCCCGCGAGCAGCGCGGCGACCATCAGGCGTGGACCCGGGCTGTGGAGCCCTCACCTGCTGTCCCGGAGGGCGGCAGGCAACCGCGGGGTGGCGCGCGGCTCTCCTTCGCGCCCGAGCCGGCGCCCAACGCCTGAGGGCTCCGCTGGCCTCCGCTGCGCACCGCGCGCCTCCACGCGAATGGGCCGCCGCCGCCCGCCTTCTTGTTGACTGCATCCCCGCCCCGCGCCCGCCCTGCGCCCGGCCCGGCCCGGCCCGGCGAGAAAGCCTTAATTGGTAAAATCGCCCAGGAGCCGGGGGCGGAGGGTGGGGTGCGGGGGCACGCCATCAGCTCGAGTGCCCTGGCCGCCTGGCGACGCCGCCCCCCAGGATGAGCTCACCGCTCAGCGAGGGCCTCCAGGCCCCGTGGTGTGTGGGGTAGGGGAGGCTCACCTCCAGCTCGGGATCTGAGGGGCCCAAGTCTAGGCCCAATCCCAAGGACTCTGAGTGACTAAGTTCAGGGGAGCTGAAAAGGCTCAGCTCTAAGGCCACCTTTTCCACAGTCACCGTGGCCGTCCATTTCCATTCAAGTCTGGGCTGGCCACACAAGTCAGATCCTGCACCCTGGGGTGGGGGGCAGCAGGCCATTGTAGGTGTTCACTGAGTGCTTACTATGCACAAGGCCTCAGCAAGCAACATGAACTGCAGGGCCTTGAGCCCAGTGATGAACAAGTCACCTGGCTGCCACGGATTTGCCTCCTGCTAAGTGCAAAGCCTGGTCTGGGAGCAAGGAGCAGAAATGTACTGAATTCTCAGTGCAGCTGGGTGTGGTCCCAAAGCCTAGCAGTGTGTGGTGGGGTGCAGCCAAAAAGTCTAGTGTCTGTGGAGCTGGTGGACACAGCCACGCCCTGGCACTGACAGGCTCTCTCTTCCTCTTCTACATGGCCATTTCCTGATAGCTTCAGAGTCAAGTCAAATGTCACTTGCCAGTGGGGAAGCCACACAGAGCAGAGCCATGTTGCTTTGGCAGTACTGAGGGTACTGGGTGTTTGTAGGAAGGCATTCTATCACTTGAGTCCCTTCACCAGCCAGCAGTGCCACTGGAACATTTTGCCTGCAATCCCCAATAGGAGCTACATGTTACATCCTGACCAAGTACGTGCGTACACACACAAACTGAAACGAACATTTCGTAGCAGGACACTTTCCCTCACTACCTGTAGTGTGCTCTGATATTTTCTATTCTTGTTTTGTTTCATTTTGTTGAGACAGGGTCTCACCATGTAGCCCAGGCTGGCCTTGAACCTGTGATCCTCCTGCCTCTGCCTCCTGAATGTTGGGATTATAGATGTGTGCCATCAACACAACCAGCATTTTCTGTTTTTCTTCATCAAAAGGAGAATGAAAGGCTGGGCGCCAGTGGCCCATGCCTGTAATCCTAGCTACTCAGGAAGCAGAGATCAGGAGGATTGCGGTTTGAAGCCAGCCCAGGCAAATAGTTCACGAGACCCTATCTTGATAAACCCTTCACAAAAATAGGGCTGGTGGAGTGGCTCAAGGTGAAGGCCCTGAGTTCAAGCTCCAGTACCGCAAAAAAAAAAAGAGAGAGAGAGAGAGAAAAAGGCATGGTCAATCACACCTGTAATTCTAGCTTCTCAGGAGGCAGAGGGATCCAGGAGGATGGAGGAGTTCAAGGCCAGCCCACACAAAGGTAGCTTCAAGACCCTGTCTCAAAAAGAAAATAAATAAAAACAAAAGGGCTTGGGGCATAGCTCAAGTGGTAAGAGGGCTCGTCTAGTGCGTGCAAGGCTCTGGGTTCAATCTCCAGCATGAAAGAAAGAAAAAGAAAAAGAAGAACAGAGAAGAGGGGGAGGAGGGGAGGGAGAGGGGATGGAAGTAGAGGAGAGAAAAGGAGAAAAGAAGGAATAAAGAAATAGGGGGGATGGCTGGGGGTATGGCTCCAGCTGTAGAGCACCTGCCTAGCAAGCATGAAGCCCTGATTTCAAACCCAATACTGCCAAAAAAAGAAAAAAGAAATAGAAAAGAAAGAGGGAAGAACAGATGGAGCCAGGAAGGGCAGGAGTTTGGTCATACTTGCTGAATGAATTTGGCAATCTGTAGTCTAACTTGAATATTAAGGTGCTGGTTGCCTTCCAGGCTCTCTGCATCCACTGCTGCCTTTCCTGGCTCTGCTGGCAATGACATTTCACACCTTGACTCACCATGGGAGCCACCAAACAGTGCCAGGATCTCCCACTGTTCTCTCCAGTAGTAGCTCCTCTGCTGGGGAGGCCGGTGGGTGAGCTTCACTTGCTAGACTAGAGGCCTGAGTCAGGCCATGAGGTGGCTTTGCTGGATTCATGGCCAAACTGTCCTTTGAGGGGGGACCCACCTACCATGGCAATGTAGAGCCAGGAGTAGAATAGGTGGTGGCTGAGCCTCAGGACTCCCACTGCATTTGAACTCTGTACTCACTCACTGCACAAGTTCTATAAACACAAGAAGTTACTTCTTTGCCTCAATGTCTTCCAGGTCTAGCAGCATAAAGATTTGTATACTGCCACTGTTCCCTGGTGAAGATCTCCTTGTGTTGAAGAAATGTTTTTAAGCAAACTTTTTTCCTTACCATTTTCAATCTTGCTGGAATCGCAAGTTGTACAATATAGTTCTTCAAAGCAATTCCCCATTCTTAAAGGGAAAAACTCAATTTTCCTTTTTTCTTTTTTTTTTATTTTGGTGGCACTGGGGTTTGAACTCAGGGCTCACAAGCATTCTACTACTTGAGCCATTCTGCCAGCCCTTTTTTTGTGTGTTAGGTATTTTTGAGACAGAGTCTCAAACTATTTGCCCAGGGCTGGCTTTGAACCTTGATCCTCCTGATCGCTGCCTCCTGAGCAACTAGGATTACAGGTGTAAGACACCATCTGGCCTCAGTTTTCTTATTCTTGCTTGTAATCAGCTGCTTCCCCTCTGATTACACCCCCAATGTCCACTCTGCCTGTCTTTCTCAGGAAGAACTCCCCAGAGACCCTCAGAATGTGCTGTATATGCCCATCCTGCCTGAGAGATGTGAGGTGAGTCAAGTCAGTACCCAATGGAGCAGGTACTGACTGCGGGTAATGTTTCCATGAGTGAAATGCTGTCCTCACAAACGTCTGTCTTCCCCTACCCTGACATCCTGATTCTCCCTCTGCATGATGGGGGTGTGCTGTATCTTCTTCGCTCTTTTGGCTAAGGGCGTGCCTGGCTTCTAGTGGTCTAGGACAGAGCTGCACTGCAGTGGGGCTAGACTTAAACGTCAGGTATCCGTGGGGCGGGTGTAAGAAGATCATCACAGTTCAGTTTCCTGATGCCCTACGTGCTGGGAGCTCATAGCGGGGCAATTGGGGGAAGGTGGACGTAAAAGGCAGAGTGCTAAAGCAGGTACGGGGAGTGTTCCTCAGGGAGAAGGCAAACCTAAAATTCCTTGACCTCATAAGGAAACAGCTTGGATCTATGTGGGGAGGGGTGACATGGGGGAGGACTGAACAAGCACTCTGTACACACAGTCTTCTGGGAGAGGGGCCAGCACTGCAGAAGGCAGATTGGAGAGGGGCTGGGGAATGTGATTTTGCCAAAACTAAAAACTCCATGAGGCGGCCGTTGAATGGACCAGGGCATACACACGCACGCACACACACATGCTTGCTCACACCCATTCTGAGAGAAAATGAGCAAGCTTCTGCCCAAGGCTCTCCTGTCTTACTGCCGTGCTGTGCTGTGTCCTCAAGGACCCACACACCTCCTCCCATAATTCTGGGAAGAGGACCATGCCTTCGCTCGAAAACCCAGTCAACAGCAAGTCTCCTTCACTAGGGTCTTTGTGTATGGTCAAAGCAGGGCTCCTTTTCCTCACTACTATCTAAGTGTCTGTCTCTTCAAACCCCCCCCCCAATTTTTTTTTTGATGTGAGTATGGTTTGAACTCAGGGCTTCACTCTTGCAAGGCAGGCACTCCATCGCTTGAGCCACACCCCCAGTCCATTTTGTTCTGGCTATTTTGGAGATGGGGTCTCCTGAACTATTTGCCTGGACTAACCTTGAATCTTGATCCACCTGATTTCAGCCTCTCAAGTAGCCAGGCGTGAGCCACCAGCGCCTTACCCTATGGAATATTGCCTGTGACCCTCACCAGCTGGAGCTGCGCGCTCTTTCCTCTTCTCCCCAGCCCCAGGCATCATGTAAGAGACCAGGCATCCCAGGCATCTCTGTTCCCCTTAGCTCTCACCCTGTCCAGTAAGGGGCACCCTACTTGGTTGATATGACAACCACTGTCTTTCCACAGGACAGTCGTTTTCTGGGCAAGGCCCTCACCAACAGTTAGCCACAGTCTGGGAGCCTCAGCAAGCCTTGGCAGACTCCCATGGTTTGCCACCACCCTCTGCGCCCTGCCTGTCTACTAACATGGGACATGCCAGGTTCAGGAGCTACTCCACCAGGAGAACACGCTCCTTTAGGTCCCCCAGGATCCCAGGTGGACAGAATGGTGGGTTAGGTAGGCACGCAGTGTCTGCAAGCGTCACAACGGTAGGTGCCCTTGGCCGTGCCCGTTGGCACACCGGGCCCTTGGAAGGCTGCTTGGTCCTGGAGTGCTGGCGGCCTCCTGGTCCAGTGCCCCACTTCCTCCTGGAGCGAGGGGGGAAGGCAGTGGGAACCGGTGGGAGCAGATGCTCAGGCTGGGAGCGGCTGCGTAGGCTCCGAGCCCTCCTGGGGCAGCCGCTCTCGTGGTGTTGTGTTCACAAAGCGCTCTGGAAGGGTTCGCTCTTACGATTGGGCCCTTCCCACTGCTGCAGACCAGAGTTCAGGCCTGGAGTCCGGACCCTAAGCCCTGGCGTCCGGATGAGGGGAACATGGTGAAGCTGACATAACGCAGGGATGAGAACCACATCCGATTCTGCGGGATCTCAACTCCTGGCCAGTTTCTGCCGGTTCTAGTCGTGCACGCTCCGCCCTTCTCGCATGTTAAGCACAAAAGTACCCACATGTGACATCTCGGCTCACCGCCCGCCCCGCCCTGCCCTTCCTCGCTCCGCCCGGCCTCACCCATCCGCTCCCACAGCTAGATCCCGCTGAACCTCTCAGGCTTTCCTGTAAGCCCCGCCCCTCTTCTACTGCTAGCCAATCCCGCACGGCTGTGATTTGTCGGCTTGTCAGCCCCCCCCCCACCCAGCAAGGTCCCGCCCACTCCCACGGCTGGACCGGTCTGCACCGGCTGCTCTCGCGTTTTGGCTCCGCCCCTCGCAGCGCGCGCAGCTTACAGAGCCCGCGGTTGTGACGTGAGCGTGACGCAGTGTGACGCGGAGCGGCCGCTCCCGAGGCGCTGGCGCTGCCTCTGCCGCGAGTAACAACACACAGTTACTCGGCCTGTGTGTCCAGGCTCGGGCCCCCTCCCCCGGCCTTCATCACCCACTTCCCAGTGCCTGTCGCGCCTGCCATGGACGACTACGCGGTACTGTCGGACACCGAGCTGGCCGCAGTGCTGCGCCAGTACAACATCCCTCATGGGCCTGTCGTGGGTACGCGGCGGCAGGCGGCGCGCTGAACCCCTTCCTGGGATCCGCTTCCTGCGCTCCCCGTCCTTACTTCCTCCTCCCACCCGGGTCTCCCTCGCTCTCCGCATGCTCTCCCCTGGGTTTGCGCCCCCTGTCTCGCACCCCTGACCGCCCCGCGCCCTGTGTCTGACCAGGCTCCACTCGCAAGCTGTACGAAAAGAAAATCTTCGAGTACGAGACCCAGAGGCGGAGGCTGTCACCCCCCAACTCGTCATTCTCCTACCGGTTCTCGGGTGAGATGTCTGACCCTTCTGGCCACTTGTGGGGACGGGGCTTGGGTAACAGGGAGGATGGGGTCGCGAGGGTGTGGCAGGGGCACTAGCTAAGATGGGCACTCGAGAGAATGGAGGGAAGCCTGGGGTCAAATGGTCCTGTCCTCATCTCAATTCAGACTTGGATTCAGCATCTGTGGACTCGGATATGTATGATCTGCCCAAGAAGGAGGATGCCTTACTTTACCAGAGCAAGGGTAAGGTAGGGGTGAGGTGGACACCCTGACACCTTCACCCCCTCTCCATCAGGGACCCCAATACGGGGAGAACCTAAGACCTTAATCTCCCACCATTCCTCAGTAGCCCTAGAGGGGAGAAACTGGCACAGGGCTCTTAGTGGGATTCAGACTGGGGACGTTGGGCCAGGTGGGGACACCACTACCTCCTCTACCATTGTCCCCTTTTCCAAGGCTATAATGACGACTACTGTGAGGAGAGTTACTTGACCACCAGGACTTATGGGGAGCCCGAGTCTGTAGGCATGTCCAAGGGCTTCCGCCAGTCCACGACTTCACTCTCAGATGCTGACACCTTCCACCACCAGGTGAGCTGGTTATTAGGTATTAGGGTGCAACTTGAGGGGTTTGTGTAAGTCAGGAAGCTGTTGAGGGCAAATGATAGCTCCTAGGCCTCCAGGGAAGGTTGAGGTCAGCATACAGCTGTTTGGTCAAAGTCCTACATTGGGGGTCTCAAAAGTATTTGTTGGGCTGGTGGAGTGGCTCAAGTAGTAAGGCGCCTGCCTAGCAAGCATGAAACCCTGAGTTTGAACCCCAGTACCACCAAAAAACCCATTTATTTAGGGTTGGGTGTGTAGCTCCGAAGTATAGAGCACTTGCCTAGGGTTCAATCCCCAGCACTGCAAAAAATGTTTTTTTTTATTAGCGCACATGAAGCACACCAAAAGCTGTGGTCTTGGATTTGGGTTTTGAGACTCCTCAGGGAGGAGGGTAATGGGACAAAGACAACTGGGACAGTCACTAAATGCCAAGGACCCACAGAAAAAAGCCCGAGAACCCAGAGTGATTCTAGAAGAGGCACGGGTCTGGCCTTTAAGCTATGGTCAGAGTGGGATGGCCAGGGACATTTGTACTAAGTGATATGACAGGGCAGTCCCCTAACCCCAGTTCTCTTTTTGCAGGTGCGTGATGACTCTCTTTTTTCTTCTGAAGAGGAGGGCAAGGATAGGTGAGTAGTGGTCCAGGGCAGGGGCCAGGCAGGTTCTGAGCCCAGGCTCTCCTGCCCATCTGCTCCCTTACTTTTGCCTCAGGGAGCGCCCTGTATATGGCCGGGACAGTGCCTACCAGAGCATCGCGCACTATCGCCCCATTTCCAACGTCTCCAGGAGCTCCCTGGGCTTGTCCTATTATCCTGCGTCCTCCGCCTCGTCTGTGTCCTCATCTTCATCTTCCCCCTCCTCCTGGCTCACCCGCCGTGCCATCAGACCAGAAAAGCAGGCTCCTGTTGCTGGTCTGGGCCAGGATCGCCAGGTCCCACTCTGGGCCCAGCTACTGCTTTTTTTGGTCTTTGCTGCCTTCCTGTTCTTTGTTTACTACTCTATGCAGGCTGAGGAAGGCAACCCCTTTTGGATGGATCCCTAGGAGTACTGGCTCCACAGCCAGCTGTTCTAGGACATCCTGGCTGACTACCTTAGCAGGGCTGGGTGGGGGTGGGGGTTTTTCTGTGTTTTAGCTTGGGGGTGCAGGGCCTGTCCCAGGGCAGTGCTTGCTCCCCCTCCACCTCATCCTGCCAGGGAAGCTGCAGACTCCATGGCTGGGTGGGCCTGGTTGTGCATTCCTCTGGAGCCTCCTAGCCCTGCTTGTCTCTACCCTAGGGCCCAGGAGGGCAAGACCTCACTCCTTTAGAGGAGAACATGTTGTTGTCATGCATGCCTTCTGTTTATTTGTTGTCACCTTGTTGGGGGAGGATTAACCAAAGGCCACCCTTTGTTTTCGTGGACACACAATAAAAAAAAAAAAAAAACATTTATTTTTAATTTGTTGGCTCTTACTGCAGGGGGAGAAGTTGGGCTTCCATGGTATGGAGGCTCTCAGTCTTGGGCCTCAAGGATCCCTATGTTGCTTTGCCCAATTTGTTCTGCATTTTTTACTTTGGTCTTGAGAAAGGAATCAAATGCTACCCATAGATGTTTGAGTTTTATTCAGACTCATTCCCCAAATGCATTTTTAACTACTTAAAAAAAAAAACTACCATACAATAAATAGTGTAGAGAGAACCCTCTTGGAAATATAGACAAAGCTGTATATACAATATCCTCTGTAGGTATTTTCACCAGGAAAAGCTCACCAGCCAACCTAAGCATCTGAGGGCACAGGGACGGAAAGGAAACAAAGCATCTTGGTGGTGGGTTGCTGCTCAGCTGCTGGGTTCACTGCTCCTTTAATGACATGGGGGGATACTCCAAAGATGGCAGTATCCTCTTATATGTGGCTATTGTTACAGGAGGGCTTAGACAGAGACTGAGAGGGCACCAAAGCTTTCGGAAAGCAAGTTTGTTAAGCAAGCCGGCAGCAACTCAGCAGACTTGAGTCCAAAGGCTGAGCCCCGAGAACAAAGGGGTCCTTCCTTATATACCCTTTAGAGCAGGTTACAAAAATGGGGGGGTGCAGCTTGTCCCGTAAATAATTACGTCATTTCACTGGCCGCTCTAACCTGTGGGATGAGGTGACCCTTCTCTGGTCTCCAGGTAACATTCCCCAGCTCCGGTTTTTCTTTGTTTTACTGTAACTCTCATTAATCTTTCTTCCCCTTCCCTGCCTTCCTGCCACATTACAACGCTTCACATTTTTATATTCTTGTTCTATTCCCGGTTTTGCTACCCCAGGTATATTATTTCATAATTCTCAGTTTACATATATTTCTTACAGTGCATTCTAAAGAAATCTAGAATAAAATGCCACATGTCTTCTGTGCCTGGGTCCATGGTGCCAGCTGAGGGAAGGAAAGCACAGAGGGCTGGCATGCACTCCCTACCAGTAAGTGGGAAGCAGAGGCCCAGCCAGGGGTGAGGTCCTGGCTTCAGTCCCTCTTACTAATTTGTTTGTTTTTTTTTTTTTTGGTGGTATTGGGGGTTGAACTCAGAGCCCCATGCTTGCTAGGCAGGCACTCTACTGCTTCAGCCACTCCTCCTCCAGCCCTGTTTTGTGTTGGTTTTTTTTTGAGATAGGGTCTCACAAACTACTTTCCTGGGCTGGCTTCAAACCTCAACCCTCAGTCCTCCTGATCTCTGTCTCCCAATTAGCTAGGATTACAGATGTGAGCCACCAGTGCTCAGCTCCAGTTTGTTCCTTGCTAAAGGTTGTGGGACTTAAGCTGGCTGCTCACAGTACCTATGCACTCCTTCACATGCATCCTGAGCTCTGCAGCCTTCTGGAGTTCTTGGTTGTCTGTGGCCACACAGTGAGTTTATGGTAAGACAGACCCCTGACCATTTCTCTGCTGCATCCTAGCCTCCCTACCTACTTTTTTTTGTGATCCTAAAAGTAATGCATGGTTCTTATGCATTTAAAATCTGAAGAAAAGAGACTAGGGGTGTAGCTAAGTCCTAGGTCCAATCTCTAACAGCAAAAATAAGTTTTTGCTTAGGCACAAGAGTCAGGCGTGGTGGTGCATACTTGTAATTCCAGGACTTAGGATGTGGCAGCAAGAGGATCAGGAGTTTGAGACCAGCCTGGGCTACAGTGTGAGGCCATGTCTCCAAGTGGTAGGGCACTTGCCTAGCATGCACAGGACCATAGGTTCAATCTCCAGTACCAAAAAAAAAAAAGAAAATGTTACTCAAATGTTCTACAAAGACAAGAACACTAACACCGTACCAGTAGCTTAAACCTGTAATGTTAGCTACTCAGGAGGCAGAGATCAGGGGGATTGCAGTTGGAGGCCAGCCTGGGCAAATAGTTCCTGAGACCCTATCTCCAAAAAACCCGTCACAAAAATGGGCTGGTGGAGTGGCTGAAGGTGCAGACTGAGTTCAAGCCCCAGTACCGCAAAAAAAAAAAAAAAAGTTCTGGTTTTCTTACCACTCATTATAGACTCAGATTCTCTTGTTTGCTGTAAATCCCTCCCATTTGGCTCATCCCCAGTAAGCACCCAGCCACTACTTGACCCCCAGTCCCCTTCTCTCTACTCACCATTCCAATGTCAATACAAAGGACTGGATTCTGGCCCTGCAACCTAGATGAACCATTGTGGGTGGTGGGCATGGGCAGGTGATGCTACTTCCTTGTAGATCAGTAATAAGGATCATTGAGTGGGCAGAACAAACAGGGTCCCCACCAGGACCTAAGAAGGACATGGTGACAACCTCCTGTTTCACCAGCTATTGAGAGAAGGGACTGACTACATGGAATTGCTGTTGGACTGCAGCCTGATGAAGACAAGAACCCACATGGGGCCTGGGTGGTGGCAGGGTTGACACTCCAAATCTCTGAAGTGGTGAAGAGAAAGGACATCACAAGAGGAAGGGGAGCTTGGCTTAGAGCATCCCAAGAACAGAGAAAGAGGTGTCAAGACCTAAGGACAAAATGGTCCTCTAGGCCTCAGATCCTGGAACTGTTTGCACGTTGGGTATAAGAGAGCAGGTAGGTGGGTGTGCCCGGAAGCTATGGTACCTGGCATGAGGGAAGATTGGATGATAACAGTGGCCAACCATATGTTACAGACTCCCCGTTCACCCCTTCATTCTACAAGGGTTTCCATGTTTATCCATGCACAAGGACCAAATAGAAGATTCCTCTGGGTCTCTCCCCGCTCCCCCCACCCCAGGGTTTAGCTACATGCCTGAGCTCCTTTCCAAGTCCCAAGCCTCCCATTTGGGTTTGGCCTCTGCCCCCACTCCAATGACATGTTCTCCCCAATCTCCAAGGACTGGAGCTACAGGCAAAACCCAAGTGCTCAAGGTGCCTCAACCACAGGCTTATGAAGTCTCTGGACACTCAAGGGCCTCAGCAGCCTCCAAGCAGGTCTCTCCACCTAAATGCTCTCAAGGGTCTGGAACCCATTCCTCAAGACCTCTGAGGGACTACTGTGGCCCCTCCTAAAAGTTTCCAAGGATTTTAGAATTACCCTACAAGACCTCTGAGGGCTCCAGGATTCCCACACACCCTCCGCTCCCCTCCCCTGGGCTCTAGGACTGAGGACACAGCAGGGGCAGCAAGGGGGCAGCAAGAGGCCAGGCACTGTTCAGTCTCTGGATTCACTTCCTCCTAAGCCATGAGGATGTGGCCTGAGGCAGTGCTATATACCCAGAGAGTCACCATGTTCCCATACTGGCCCCTAATGGCTCACGGAGGCACCCCACCAGCCAAGGGGGAGGAGTGTGCCCTGTAAGGGCAGGAAAATCCTGAACACATGCTCCTGACTGGACCCTCTATCTCAGTCTTCCAGACAAGACCAGGAGAGATGGCACACAACTGTAGGCTAGTCAAGAGGTACTCTTGCCCTACCAATTATGACAGAGCCAGCAATTGCATGAGGATGGCACATGCTGGACAGAACTGGCGTCAGCTCCCACCTTGCACCCCTAGCATAAAAGCTCAAAGGTTTAGAGTCTGTGGCTCCAAGACAACAAGCAACCACCTGATCCTAAGGTGCTACAGGCAAGAAAATGCCATTGTTCACACTGCTTAAAATAAGGGCAGATTGCTCCCTGGGCTCAAGGTGGCCAGTCCCACAGAGATACTGCCCAAGAGGCAGCAAGGATGGAGCCGGATAAAGTCTGGTCCCCCATGATTGCCCCACTACTACTCCTGCTCAACTGCAAGGAAGGGTGGGGTGCCCCCACATTCTTGGAGGCTGTTGGAAGCTGACCAGTTGGAGAGGAGATAGGAGGCAGCAGAACCAGGTCCAAAGAGGTCCAGAATCATGGAGGGGAGGATGGGAGACCCAAAAAACATAGCTTTCTCCTCTCAATACCCAGTATGCCCAGGACCCTTCACACTGAGCATACCCCTGCCTGCTCCAGGTCACCCAGAGCCTCCTATTCCTTCCTGGCACCAACCCTACCTACAAGAAATAGCTCTGCTGTCACATTCTATCACATGCTAAGGCCTGGAAAGGCCCCTCAGAAGCATCACACATCCCATGCACAGTAGGACTAAGCAGGAGGTCCTGTCACCATCCCTCCACATCACATGCTTGGGGCTGCAGGAAGGCCAGAAGATGCCAAATTCAGGGCCAGGGATACAGTTCCCTGGGGACAGACATCCTGGCAAGAGACTACAGGCCAGGCCAAGAGGTGAACTGCAGGGCACTTGGGCAGAGAAACAGGAGGGAAACAGATTGGGAACCCACATACTGGTCAAGGCCCCCCAGTAGAGGGTGGGAAGATGGGACCCACACATATGCTCACCATTCCTGACGGTGACTCAGGTACACTGAGGAAATTTGAGAGGATCCATAAGGACCTAGGAGTAGGCAGGCAGGACATACGGGCTTAGCTGCCTCACCCAAGTCCACGTGTGGGGTTTTTGACCCACCCACTAGGCCAAGAACGCCCATGGTAGAGGCCCAACAGGTGCAAGGAACAGAAGGGAGGTGCTAGCTACATCTCGCCTACCAATACCAAGGAGGAGGCCATGGGCTGGTGGCCTCAAATTGGGAGCAGGCCCTGAATCAGCAGGTTCAGGCTAGACTGAGTGTAAGGCAGGGCAAGGCAGGTGGAAGGCCCAGCTGACTGCCACAGCCAGTCTCTGTCCTATCCAGACACACATCTGCACCTGACTCTCCCTCTTCCTCCCTACTGTCCTGTCCCCCAGAGGAAGCTGAGAGGGGGACGCTCGTGGGAAAAGGGGTCAATGCTTTTCCAAGTGGAGCTTCTGACCTCCCTACAGTGAGGGATCACAGCACTTCCACAGCAACATGAACAAGGCCAGGAGTCCCTTGAGGGTTTCAGAGGCAGGCTCAGGGGAAAGGGAAAAACTAGGAAAAGAGCAAAGAAGGTCTTTCCCACCTGCAGGCCAAGAAAGACAGCAAGTAGGTGACTGTGGGAACAGCCCTACCAGGACCTCACAGGAAGGGCAGGCAGAAAGGCCCCGAGACATCTTGGAGGGTGTGGGAGGGGTCTACAGACATCAAATCAATGCAAGGGTTGGATGTCTGGAGCATGGACAGGTGGTAAGGGTCAGACTGAGGACGGGGGGGCACTGGGAGGATAGCAGCAATGCCTGACTGAAGGTCAAGTGTGGTGAAGGGTGGGCACAAGAAAGAGGGCACCAACCCAAAGCAGTGTATCTCAGAAGAGACACAGGACCGACCAGGGCTCTGAGAAACAGGGTGGTGTGGGCAAGTGCCTCACTAAACCCCTTCTGGTCCACCAACAAAGAGGCAGCGTGGGTCCTTTCCTGACAAAGTGTCCAGGGCAGGGTCCTCAGAGTCTGGGACAACCTCCTCAGACCACAGGAACACCCACACCGAGCTGATAAAGACCAGGGGTCAATGGGAGGCACGAAAAACAGGGTACTAGACTAGAAGAGGCAGTTACAGGACCATTCCCCAACTGTGATCAGGGTCTAGTCACCTGCAGACCTAGGTATCCCTGGGGACAGGAAATTGACTTAGGGGAGGAGCAGAGGCCCCATATCCAGGGACAGCTGGAGGGATCCTGGATGCAAGTGCCAAGGGCAACCACGCTGGCCTCAGAAAACCCTAGGACATACCTGGTGGCGGGGCCACAGTGGGGGCAGCTACTGGCAACCCACAGGTCTGGGACACTGGCCATGGTGCTCCGAGACACAGCTGCTTCGAAAACCTTGATGGAGCCAGTGGGGTGAGGAGGGACAGCTGCTAAGTCAGGGTGGTGTGTGGGTCAGGATAGGGTCTGGCTGCTTTCGCGTGTGTCCACCTGCAAGGCAGGCCACTAGAGGAAATCCCCGGGCGAGGGCACCGGGCAGTTGTAGGAACAGCAGCCTCAGCCCCATCCTGGCTCCCTGAGACCAACCCAAGCACAGGAAGCCTTGTTCCTTGCTGGGCCCCAACCACAGCAGTAGGGGATGAGAGAGGCAGCCTGGCTCCATCACAGGCAAGAAGGACAGAGGACAGTCAGTGGACAGATGGCCCATGAGTATGGGGCTGTGCATGAAGCCCGAGCATGTCTTGAACAGCCCCAGCATCCGCAGCCTGACACCCTGATCAAGGGAATGCACATATCCTGCAAGAAAGGCCCAGCAATCTGCCCTCTCAGGTCCGACATATGCAAGGCAGTTTGGGAAAGTGCCAGGGGGCTGTCACCAGTGCCCACGTGTTGCCCAGGGGAGACAGCCAACAGGAAAAACACTCAAGACCCACAGAACCCGCATGACACATTCAGAGCCACCAACAGCGTCACTGGGAAGTCACCTCCGTCTTCAGGAAGTCGCCTTAGAGTCCCCACCAGGAAAGATGTAGTACACGTCTCTAGGGAAACAAGATACCAAAAACCCCTTTCAGCCCAGAGCGCAGCTCCTCCCGTGCTCCTCCCACCTGCCAGAAACCAGAGCCCAGGACCTGGGCTCCTGACCCAGACACTGGAGAAATGGGGCTTGGATGCCTGCACCGTGACAACGAGGCACACGCCCCTCCGTTACCGGGCCTCTGCCCTTTACAGACCCATCTGTGGTGGAAACAGTAGGGTGGGGGGGACCGGACTATCCAGAGAGTTCACCCCTACCTTGTGCATGAGTTCCTGAACGAGGGTGCTCAGGGAGTAAGGGTTCTGCCTTCCAGTCTGGGTGGAGATACGGGATATGGGATGCTGAACCAACTGCTCAGACAAGAAAGGGTCTCCTCTGTCTCTCCCCCTTCACCCCATTCCCAGGACTGCAGTAGCAAGGCAGGTTTGGGGTCCGGGGGACCACATAGCCTCACCAGGGCATATTTTCCCTCCTTTTAGGTGTTTTCTGTGGAGTTTTTGTTTGTTTGTTTAACGGGAGTGGGGACTGAACTCAGGGCCTCACTTGATCCACACCCCCAGCCCTGGTTTGCAGCCCCTCGAAGATGGGAAAGCCACTCTATGCCTTTACATGCACAGGCCTTGCCCAGCCTGGGCTCCAAAGATGGAGCCTCATACCTACTCTGGTTTTCTAGCAAGGACACATGCCCGAGGTGGACCTGCTCAGGATCACAAAAACTAAACTCCTCTGCCTGACTCCAAACTACTCCCAAAGCACAAATGCAAGAGGCAACTGAACGTGGGGAAAAACTCCTAGCAAGAGGTGTCTAGGAGCTCCTGTCCTTACCATAGAGAAGGCAGGCACAAATCAAGAAGCAGGAGCCCACAGGTCGCAAGCAGAAGAGGCACAGGAGAGGCATGGAAACAAAGGCAAGAAGCTTCCACACTGGCAGGCGACTCTTCTGGAGAGGACCTGTTCCCACAGCAATAAGATGGCGAGTGCCCTGATCCAGCATTCCAGCTAGACGACAGGCCACCCCTGGACCTGAAAACACAAAGACCAACCAGGGCAAGGGCTGGCCGAGCACAGCTGTCTCCCAGGGGCTGGGTGGCTGTGTCCTGGGCTGGACGGCGCAGGCAGTAGCAGCACCCAGGCGCCGGGAGACCTCCCTGGCAGGGCAGTTTGGAGGGCAAGGAGGTGCTAACACAGAAGCTTCTCCGGGCTGGGGCTTGGGATCCTTCCTCGTCCGTGTGTCTCAGCATGTCGGCACAAGCTGGGCAGGTGTTCAGCCACAGGGAGGGAGGGCTCCTGGGCCCATGCACTTCCAGAGGAGCCACCCTCTCTTTGTGGGGCTCACCTTGACCTACCTCCCCCACGTAACAGAAGGGCCCCAGCTGATGCCAACCCCACGTCGCCCTGGAGCAGAACAGGACGCCCCTGCGGGCGGCGCACACCTGTCAAGTGACATGAGAGACTTTGTTACCTTCTCAGTCTCCACCTCCAGAAGCGTGGACAGACGCCCCTACGGAAGCCAGCCCCTCCCGCCCCCCGCCCCCCGCCCCCGGGACTCGGGGGCCAGGCGGCTATGCCCACTGCTCCCTAGGCCGTACCCTGCGTATGTGGGGAGGGGGTGACCGTGCTTGGCCGCCAACCGGCCCAGAAACGTCCTCAGAGGCCCTTTCCGCACAGCACACTGCGGCCGGGGACGAGAACCGCCACACGTTGGGGTCCTGGGAGGGCAACGCTCACGGGAAGGGGGGCAAAAGTGCGGGGAGGCCCGGACTGGGGCTGAAGGCGGCGCGGGGAGGGGCGGTTGCCACCCTCCTTCCCCCTTCTCCAAATCTCCCCGCGGAGCTCACTGTCTACTTCCAGGACCTTCTAGAAGGCCCCACTGCTCCTCCGACGGGCCCGGGGGGCGGGGAGGGAGGGCAGGAGCGGACCCAACGCGGCCCACAGGTCTCCCGGGGCCCCGGTCCCCGAGAGAATGCAGACACAGGGTCGCCAGCCCAGCCCCAGCAGGGTCAGGCCAAGAAGCCTGAGACGCCGAGGGTGGAGCCGAAGAGGCCTCCGCCTCCGCCGTCTCCGCTTCAGCACACGCACCGGAAGCTCCCTTCTGCCCTCCTGCTCGCGGGGCTGACTAGCTCCGCCAATGAGGAAGCTCGGCCGAAGTGGAAGTCCCGCCCCTCAGGCTTGACGGATGCTCCCTCTGTCCACTGGAATTCACCCAGTCGCGTGCGCGCTCCTGCTGCGGCAGCGGGCGGGTTCTTTGCGAGTCTCTGTTGTGGCCGGAGTCTGAAAGGCGTCCTGCCGCGACGGTGTCCTGTGCGCAGCAGTCACCGGAAGGTTGTGTTTTGTTCGTGGACTTGCTCTGTTGAATTCAGGATGTTCGCCAGAAGCTGCCAGAAGCATGCAGAGCCCGGTGATGGGGACCCGTAGTTGCCCCGGGACCCTCTAAGAAGGGCCTGGGGTGTATGAGGTCGGGCGTAAAGCACTTGGCGGGCTGCCCGAGGCCCTGAGTTCCATGTCCAGCACCCGGCCTCCCGCAAAGGAAAGTCCCAGCGGGGCGCCGGTGGCTCACGCCTGCAATCCTAGCTACTCAGGGGGCAGAGAAGTAGGAGGATCCAGGCTCGACGCCACCCCAGGGAAGTGGTTTGCGCGCTCCTATCTCGAAAACCCATCAGAAAAACGAGCCGGCAGAGGGGCTCAAGTGGTAGAGCGCCGGCCAAGCGAGGGCGAAGAAGACCTGCGTTCAAACCCCAGTGTGGCCTAAATCCATAAAAAACAGCCAGTCGACCAATAACTGCCCTATAGAGCATTTCCAAATGTGCAGGTGCCGGGTGTGAACCTGCCATCGCTTGCATGTCCCTGTCACCATGAGACAGCCCTCCTTGGCCACGAGAGTCGCCACTGTTGGCTTTGCATAGACTAAGCCTCCCCCGCGGCAATCCACAGCGACCAGTGACCTGTGCTCCGTGTGTAGGATTTTATCGGTGCACCTCCTAGGGTGTGCTTGTGTGCATTCGGCCGGGTGCTGGGAGTTTTGTTTGCACGTTGAGGTTCTTCCACAGAAACCGCGGGTGAAGCATTCTTCTGCGCTTCCTGCAATGTTTCCATTCCTTCCCCAAGTGCCCAAGACAGTGGTTGCTGCTTTCAGTGAAGCGGATGTGTGGTTTTAATGGAAATGGCCAAGCTGCCTTCCAGAGTGGCGAGGATTTTGCATGGCCACCCCGCATATTTTCAGAGCGAATCACTGCAAAGTGTTACAAACCAGCATACTCTGAGCAAGAGTATCTATGTTGCTCCCCTCTTGTTTTTCCCTGCGATCACCAACAGTCATTCACGCGGTTTTGATTTCTCCCTTTTCGCTCGTTCACAGCTTGAAAGCACACATGCGAATGAATTCACTTTTGTTCTGATTCTCTTTTCACCCAGCAATATAGCTTCACGGTCCTTCCATGTTGACACACAGTTCTTAGCTCCTCTTTCTCTGGCTTCATGGTATTTGGTAGGATAGCTATATTATAATTTACAAAAACAAGTCCCCAGTTGATGTCCTTTTCTTGTTATTTACTTATTGCTGTTAGTATAAACGCTGCAACCATCAGTCTTGAGCTTGTGTCTGTCTAGGGTAATTAGCTGTGTGTGGAACTGCCAGGTCAAAAGACTTGCATTGCTGGGCACGGTGGGCGACACCGGTCGTGCCAAGCAACAATCAGCAGGATCCGGAGTTCCAGCTCAACCTCTGCTACACAGAGAGATCCCATTGCAAAAAATGAAAAGAAAACCACCCATACGCGTTTAGGATTTTCATGGACACTGAGGAATTGCTTCTTGAAAAGCGCTATCCATTTACAGCATGTCTCGGCACAGTGCACTGCATTGTTTACTCACGGCCTCGCTAACGATGGGGAGAAGACGGGTCAACAGGGCTTTTCATGTTTCCTCCCCTTCCTGGCTTTCCTGCTCCTGTTCCCTGCTCTTCCCAAGGCCCTGTGCTGCTTCCCTGTGTCTTCAGGTGCGTGTGTCCCGGTTAGGTAGGCCGTGTTCTTCTGAATTTGGAGGTTGACAGTTTCTTCTTTTTGATCGTGTTTCCCCACCTCGTGCCCTCATAAATGTCACTGTGCAGTGTCCTCATCCCCGTGACAACTTTTGTGGTTCTTCCCTTGTGGCCCTGAAGCCATACACTTAACGTGGCTTTCCTGCTGTGGCAGAGTGGTCCATAACCCAGGGCTGACACGTTGATCATCCCCACCGTGTGGCACAGACCCAGAGTGCTTCGGTGCTGCCGTGCCATAACCACACCATGACTGCCACATGGTTCCTGTCTCTGAGGCAACAGGCGAGGATTTCTCTTGGTGAAGTAGCAAAAGGAGGAATTACTGGCTCAACGGGCTTCGAGGTGCTTCACTTGTTTAACAGTTTCGTGTTGTTTTTAAATTCGTGTACATTAGTGCTGCAGGGGAATTTCATTGTCATAATCCCATACATGCACACACTTGAACAAGTTCACCCCCCGTTATATTTCCATCCCTCTCCCTCTCCTACCCCCTTCTTTCGCACAGTCTGAGGTGGGTTTCTTTATGCCTTCTACCTCTGTACGTACGTAGCGTCCTTCCGTCCTCTTCACCCCTCAGTAGTTTTTCCTTCCCCCGCCACCTCATGCTGACCCTCAGACCGTCCCCCAGATGCATTCACAATTATTCACTATTATTAGTAGTCTCATCGTCCTCGCCAGCATCATTTGAGGTCTAGGTTCCACAAACTGGGTGAGAACATGCCATATTTGGCCTTTTGAGCTTGACTGATGTCACTCAGCATGATGACCTCCAGTTCTATCCATTTTCCTGCAAATGACATGGTTTCATTTTTCTTTGTGGCTTTGTGGATTTATACCACATTTTCTTTATCTGTTCATCTGTTCTTTCCTCCGTTTGGCCTGTGGGACGAGAGCTGCAAAAAACGTAGGTATGCAGGTATCTCTCTTGTGTATTGATTTAAGCTCCTTCACGTATATGCCCGAGACTGGTGTGCTAGGGTCGAGCAGGTAAATCTAATGGTAGATTTTTGAGGAACCTCCATGCCGATTTCCATAGTGGTTGTACTATATGACATCCCACCAACCGAGAATGAGGGTTCCTTTTTCCCGATGATGCCCTTCATTTTGAGCTATGCCACCCCTAGTTTTCAGTAGCAACTGGTGGTTTGCTCCCGTACTGACACTACCCAAGAATTCTGGTGTGTGCACAGCATGCTTGCTGTTGTCCACCTTTCTAAGGTTTGCTAACCTGCTTCGTGTGAGGTTGCATCTCCCTCGGGTTTTGCCTTACTCTGCTCCACACC